CTAACAAGTTAAGGACCCAATCAGTGTTTCGAGAAGTTTTCAAAAAGATTGAGGCAGATAAAAAGCAAACAGATAACACATGAGAAGAAAAGTCATAGAAATCATCTGAAGTATGGGGTTTACAATTCCCAAACTTACAGGCAATATTTACCATCATGGATTTGCAGAACTAAGTTTGAATTAGCAAGAACCAAATGTCTCAGTTTCTAAAATGTCTCCTTCTCCCCACTTTCCCTGGTGCGTTCAGTTTATTTCCATTGATGCAAAGTGAATTAAAGTACAAAAACAGTTTATACTCAACAAGGTAAGAGGAAGAGAGAATGCTTGCCCTTTACAATAGGTGCAGTCAAAAGCCAACTATTGCAGCCTCACTTAAGGCCCTTCCAGACAGGCCCCAAAAGGGAATTATTTTGGGACAAAGTGTAAAAGAGAATTATTTTGGGACAAAGCAGGTAAACCCTGCTTTGTCCCGAATTAATTGAATACCCCATTAGACCCAGACCTTCCTGAAAGGCCTGGGTCTAATGGGATATGGGGCYTGCAGAGACTGATTCCTAGATAGTCCCAGGGGTCAGTCCTCACAGCCCTCTTCCTCTTTCGGGCTCCATGATCCCAGAGAACCAAAAGGGCAAACCCTTTCCCCAACCGCCCCCCCCCCCAAAACCTGAACATTAAAAAAACTTACCGAGCCTTTGCTCCTGATATATAGAAATGATACACCAGGAGGTGGTGGAGGGAGGACAAAATTGCTCCCCCCACCACCTCCTGGCACATCAGGAGGCCTGCTGGAGCAAGGTAATGGCAGTCCAGTAGGTTTTTTTTTACTTTTAAACTTTGGGGTGGGGGCACCCCACCAGGAATGTCTGGTTTTCTGGAGTGGGCATGGGGACTTAAACCCATGCCAAAGCTAGTTTCTTTAACCTGCTTCAGCACGGATTTAAGCACTGTCTGGTGCCCTTTGTGTGGTCTTCTTCTTGTGTGGTCTTCTTCTTCTAAATGTTACCATCATGATCACATGTGGATGTTCCTCTGCCTCGGGTGTTCTAGTTTTCCTTTGTGAAATATTGGAGGTAATGTTGAACAGTCCTGTGGTGCTAAGGTAATGTCTAAACAGCCAAAATAAAGTAGACTCATCACCTAGCTGCTGCAAGGGGACACCATGACTAATGGCTGGATTCACAGCAGAAATATTGCATTCAGCCTTCCAGGAGTTTTGAAGGTGTAAACAGCTGGATCCAACTGGACCTACAATGGAACCATCCCTGTATTACCACCAGCAACACTGAGACACCAGGCATGTGATGACGAATGCAACATCAACAGAAACCTTCTGCCAGTGAGCTGCTTGCTGGTGACAGTATTGGCCCCAATATTGGCCCCCTTGCCCAGTGAATGGTGCACTGGGCAAGGGATATTTTTTGACTACACAAGAGCAGCCCCACAGTACTTTAACCTCATCACAAAGGCCAGGTGAAGCACTCCGCTTCGCCGCTGGATAGAGGGGGCAGCAGGGTGAATCTGTTGCCCCCATATGCCTCTCCCTTATGGCAACACTTTCCCCATCCATTGGAGTTGGCACAATACAGCAAAGTTACTGTGTTGGGAGAGAAGTGTCCACTTTCACTCCAGTTGGGGGCAGCGCCTCTGCCAGAAATCATATGACATCAGTGATGGCTAGCATGGGGCTCTATCCACAAAACAGGGTGGAAGCATCCTAGGATGCTAAAATTGCCCCATCTGATGAGACCAATAATCTGTAATACTGCTCTAGTACAGTTGTTCCATGTCTCTTCAGGTTTCAGTGTTCAGATATATGCCGTCGCACCTGGGGCTATAGGTCTTAGAGAAAGAGGCATGGACGTGACATCTTTCCCCAGGGGATTGCTTCTTGCCCTCCTTTAGGGAAACTGGAACTCCCAAGGACCAGAACACAACAGGTAACTCGAAATGGTGTTTATTGTTGACAATGAGTTCACTTTCTTAGGCACAAACTTGATGTTTCAACAGGGAAAAATACTTTACAAACGTTAAAGTCCAGGGTCCTAGGAGTTATAAGCTGAGAAGCTTTTCCTGTTCCCTCTCTCTCAATGGCTGTGAATGCCGGAGCAAACCACAACCCCAGTTCAGTGGCCTATGTTGAAGGACAAGACCTTCCTATGGTGCCAAAAAACCGGAATGAAGGCGCCTGAGATCTTCACAATGTCGTTCAGGGGGTTTGAACATAAAGTATAAGACTCAGGGGTAAAAACCTAAGAGTTGGTGGTAAAAAATGCCTTGACCAGGGGCTTTGGGCCAAGCTTTGCACACGTCCATCCAATGAGTCTTTTTCTGAGGTAAAAAAAGGTGAGAGAGATACCTTTCCTTTCTCCCTTGGAAGGGGCGGAGCCTAAACAAATGAACTGGGGAAACAAGCCAATTGGTGCACAACAACAATAAATCGACAGCTATAATAACCAATGAAATTTAACTACACATATACAAGGTAGACAGGAATAAAATGACAGTTTAAATCCTGCAACTAACTGTACTACATATATGTGGCACCACACGCGCCGTCACAAGATATGTGTCTTTTGAAACATTTCATTTCAGTCTTTTTGCTTATATCATTAGCCTTTTGAATTTTTTGTGCGTAAGTAGGCATTAATGTAATGAAAAGTACAACACAGTATCTCCCACTGCTGTTGAAATGAAAACCTTCAGCGATGGATTTGCAATTTTACTCTCTTGGAGTAGTAAATTGCTGGTTAAGTTAAATCTCCCTCTCTCTGCTATCTCTCAGCAATTCCCAGACTTGCTTTTCTAACTCCAGCTGCTCATATTTATATTTATTTCATGATTTTGGCTCATATAGGATTATGCAGCTTTTACAGCTTTATATCTCTATAGCTTATGTCTACATATGCTAAGGGTTTCTTTATGCTGTTTTCCACGATCATGTCGTATTATTTCTACAATTCCTTTCATTCCACCAGTGCAATGCTCTCTGCTGTCCAATGTCAAGAGGATTATGTTCTCATAAATTAAAGTTCATGGTCTGCACTGAACATTAGTGTATAATATCATGGCAAAAGGGATTTTACTATTAACATTGAATCAGTTTTATTATACACTAGTGCTCTCTTATAAAAGAGTACTAGTCTCCTTTTATATGCCTCCAAAAATAAATAAATAAATTTGAAAAATCTGTATCCAAAAGTTTGACAGCTTGTTACACTGTTATTGTTAGAATTTATTAATGCAGGGTAAAATAGCTTTTATCTGTATGCAGCATCATACTGCACACTCATGTTCAATTTATGATCGGCAATAATCCCAAGAACCTTTTAAAATGTAGTACTGCTGGACTATTATTTATCCTATACCTGTGCATTTGGCTTTTGTGACTTAAATATCAAATTTTGGTTTTACCTCTATTGAATTTCATTTTATTAATGCCTGTCTAATCTTTTTACATTCTGTTCCCATCTTCCAATATGTGAACCACCAATTGTAGTTTTGTTTCATCTGCAAACTTGATAAGGATTCCCTCTACCTCACCATCTAAGTCAGGGGTCCTCAAACTTTTAACAGAGGGCCAGGCCACAGTCCCTCAAACTTTTGGAGGGCTGGATTATAATTTGGAAAAAAAATGAATTAATTCCTATGCATATCTTATTTGTAGTTCAAAAAACACTTAAGAATAATGCAGTAATTAAAATGAAGAAATTTTTTAACACATATAAACTTATTAGTATTTCAATGGGAAGTAAGGGCTTGCTTTTGGCTGGTGAGATAAGATTGTTGTTGTGCGCTTTCAAGTCGTTTCAGACTTGGGTTGACCCTGAGCGAGGGCTGGGTAAATGACCTTGGAGGGCTGTATCTGGCCCCTGGGCCATAGTTTGAGGATCCCTGATCCTCATTGATAAAAATGTTAAAGAGGACTGGCCCAAAATTAAACTTGAGATCTCCTTCCAGTTTGAAGTGTAACAGTTAATAACTTTTTGCACTGTCTGTTTTGATAAGGCCAACTGGCTAATCAATAAAAAAAGTTGTTGATAACTTTTTGGGCTTGGTTCTTCAACCACTTATGAAGCTATCTGACCGATAGCTATGAAGTTAGGAGAGCTGCAGCCCCAAAAGGTTATGGGCATCAGGTTGGAGAAGAGTATTCTGGCTTGTTTCCACATTTGGTTATTCTAATTTAGTCCATTTGTTTGCCGTTATATGTTGGAATCTGCCATGAGTCCCCCTGGGGAGATAGGGCAGAATACAAATAAAGTATTACTACTACTACTACTACTACTACTACTACTACTACTTGAAACACAACAAGATGAATCCACAGCAAACAAGATCACGCTGCTGGCTGTTGTATTGGATCACTCGTCAGACACTTTCCAAGTGTGATGTATAGATGAATAATGCGTGCAGATCCCAGTAAGGTGGCCCTCTGCAGCTGGCAGATAGTAATTTTGTCATTGCTGATTGTGTTTAAGTGCAGGTCAAGGTCTTTAGGCACTGCACCCAGTGTGCCAATCACCACTGGGACCACCTTGACTGGCTTGTGCCAGAGTCATTGTAGTTCGATCCTTAAATCCACATATCGTGTCAGCTTTTCCAGTTGTTTTCTTTCAGTTTCTCTTCCAGTTGTTTCTCTTCAATCCTGCTGTCACCTGGGATTGCAACATCAACGATCCGTATTTCGTTTTTTAACACAATCGTGAGATCAGGAGTGTTATTATTATTATTATTATTATTATTATTATTATTATTATTAACATCATACTTTTTCTCTTCTAGACTCAAAACACCTAACACTAAAAACCACAAAAATGTGTAAATTAAAATCTAAAGGATATAAACATTAAAATAGAATTAAATATTTAGATACTTTAAAAATAATTAAAATTCAATCTTCTTTCCACAGCTATGAAATTATTTCTCAAAATGGCTTATCTCAAAGTTATCAAACATTCACTCTTTCTTAAAAGTTTTTGCTTGTTTCTTGTTTTTGCAAGGCTTTATATTTGTGCACAGCGATGAACTCAGAGTACCGTTATCATGGAAGCCATAATATTGAAAAAAAGAAAAGAGAGCGCCTTTTATCCACCAGAAAATCATGGGTACAACAGGATGAAGATTTTTCCATTGCAGAAGTAACATTGGGGAAGCCGCCTTCTACCCCACATCTGGGTAAGGAATAGCAAAAAATGTTCAAGATCTCAATACTAAAAGGTCTTCTTTGCCCCCTTGCAACATTTCCTTCTGTTGCTTGTTGACATTCTGCTATTTCAACAGATCTAAATTATATCCATGTGCCATACTTTTGACCACTCCTCCACCCTTTGAGCCATGCCATGCTATTTTCTGCCTCTTGCCCAAATAAGCATGCTATTTCTCTCTCTTAGTTAACTCAGTGGCAACTATTGTTCACCCTCACATTTATAAGCTATCTTCCCTGCTTTTCAACCATTTTCACTCTTTGTCAGTGCCCTGGTCCCTAACTTATCAAAATAGCAGTGGATACATATATTTCATCCTCTGAGTTCAACAGGTGATGAGTGCGATGGTTAAACAAATAATATTCTGTCCTATCTAATTTTCAGTGGACCGCAAGGAAGCAAATCTTTGCAGCTGGATGGATTCAGGTTTCTAGTAAGTACAACTTAAAAAGTATGTACAACTTAAAATAAAATATACAGACCTTATCCTTGTATATGTGTTTATCTTTATGGATAGATTGTTCCACTATAAGTAATTGTGTCTCCATTACTTCAATCCTAAGCAAACTTTTATTTATTATTATTTATTTATTTCTTGCATTTATTGACCGCCACTCTCAGCCCTAGGGGCGACTCGTGGCGGTGAACAGCAACATAGAAAGACAGCATACACAAAGATCAACAATACAACAAACTACTACTACGACATATACTTATACTAAAAATCCGCTTCGTCTAATCCTGGGGTCATAGTCAAGTTCGTAGTCATAGTCCATTCCAACGTCGTTCCACAGATACACTTAGTTGAAGGCCTTTTCTGGAAAAGTGTCTAGTGGAAACAAAGTGTGAAATCCATCAGTTGTTATTTCCAAATTTTAGGATGATGTGCCAAAACGTAGAGCTGTTCTATATCTAGTATGCATATGAAGATTTGTCATTGAGATTTGATTTAAGACTGGCCTTGTCAGCGCAACAATCATTTAGCAAACTCTTTGAGAGATTTTGAAGGTAGAGAAGGCTGTTTTATAGTATCAGATGTAGTAAACTTTGTAACTTTATTTTCTGCATATGTGCTGTATCTCTTCTCTTCTTTCAAAACTTGCAAACATTCCAGGACACAGCATACTTTTCAATGAATTGTTTAATAAAGAATATCAAATTTGGGAAAAAAAAGTCCTGATATATTCATAGTCCGTGTTCCCTTCATAGGCAGAAATCAATATACATAGCTCCCCTTATCCCAGTTATCCCAGTTTGTCATTACAATCACAACTACACGATATATTTTAGGTTGAGAAAGCATGACTAGCCCAGAGCTATCTAGTGAGCTTCATGGATTAGTAAAGCTCAAATTTTAATTTCCAAAATCGTAGTACAAATTCTAACCATATTACTTGTAAGGAGTCATACTGGTGCATTTGGAAGTATAAGGACCTCATCACATTGATTATTTTCAGTGTCCTAGGGTGCTTGCAGTGTGCTGGGAGGATGAGCCTGCTGGATGCCATCAGATGACACATGGCAGCTTTCGGCAGTCTTCCCGGCAGTCTTCCCATGTTCTCATAGAGAAGGATAGGGCTAATGTGGGGAGAAGTTGGGTGGTGATGCTCCCCCCCCCTCCCGATGGGATGAGCATCCTTCGTAACCTCCTCTCATCTTCTTGTTTCTCCCACTTTCACAAACACACACATTGCAAAGCGGGGGAGAGGAAGGGTGTTGGAGAATAATAAGAACAAGTGCCAAAATCACACCAAATGTATCCAGGTCTTTTCCAGAAAAGATTCTTACATCTTCCATTCTGAACTCTATAGTATTGCTCCTGTTAAATGAGAGATACAATAGAAATCATAATAAGCAGAACATATAGCTTTCTAGTCAGGAAATGCAGAGTTCAACCTGGCTTAGGAAAGTGAAGGGTTTTTTTTCATGTCAGGAGTGACTTGAGAAGTCCCCAATGGTGCAATGGATTAAACACCAGGATTGTGGCGCAGCTGGCTGAGTGTCAGCTGCATTAAGATCACTCTGACCAAAAGGTCATGAGTTCGAAGCCAGCCTGGGTTGGAGTGGGTTTCCAACCAATTGTGTGTAGCCTGTTTGCAACCCGAAAGACAGTTGCATCTGTCAAGTAGGAAAATTAGGTACCACCTTAAAAAGTGTGGGGAGGCTAAATTAGCTGATTTATGAGGCCATAAAGAAGACTCCAGCAAAGCATTCCAGCAGGGAAGCATGCAGGGAATGCGGAAGTGTTTCATCAGCGTCGCAGATGGACGAGGAAAGCGACAGCTCCCCTGGCGGCCAGAAAAAGTTAAATAGCCTCTGTGTATGACATACAAACATATACAATGTTTGTATGTCAAAAATTGGCATTGAATGTTTGCCATATATGTGTACACTGTAATCTGCCCTGAGTCCCCTGCAGGGTGAGAAGGGTGGAATATAAAAGCTGTAAATAAAATAAATAATAATAATAAACCCTTGTGCTGGCAGGACTGCTGACCGAAAGGTCAGTGGTTTGGATCCAGAGAACAGTGTGAGTTCCTGTCTGTCAGCTCCAGTTTCTCATGTGGGGACATGAGAGAAGCTTCCCATAGGATGGTAACACATCCTGGAGTCCCCTGGGCAACGTCCTTGCAGACGGCCAATTCTCTCACACCAAAAGCGAAGAAGAAAAGTGAAGCGAGTGGGAAAGTCTCAGTGAAAGCTTTCAGCTTGAAATTAGGGAAAGCAAAGAATGAAAAACAAGGAGAGGAGTTGAAATTGCTTCCATTTCTTTACCATTTTTCACCAGCACTGCCAGTTTTGCAGCAGGAAGGCAAGCACTTCTCAGCGGCTGCCAATTACATGATAAAATGGCATTGTTCCCAGAGAGATTCTGGGTAATTTTTTTTGTAAAAGGCTGCCACTAGTAAGAGTGCTGTTTGATACTGTTGGTAAGCTGCCCCATTTTATTTCTATTCCCGAAATTGATGATATCCTTCTTTTTTGCCAAGGACAAATGCTGTGGAAAAGTGAAGGTGCATTTTGGCTCAGCCTGATTCAGTTTTTTATGCAAAGTGAACACTCCTAGAAACAGCGCTCAGCTGAACTCTGAGAATATCCTGTTTCATTCTTCCTGGTAAATGAATCAGAAAGAATGCTTACAAATCAAACAGTAAGAAGTGCTCTTCTTCCTAGAGTTCATATTGGCAGAAATATTTTGGAATGCAGAAGTTATTAAAACTTCTGTGTTGATATTGGATGCTGTATTTTTTTCTCCTTCTGCCCCTTTGCAATGTGGTAAGTTTGTGAAACCGGTAAAAGAAGCCCTGATACTGAACCATTATGAGTTGGGATGAAATCTGAAGAAGGTTGCACCTCATTTCACCTAACAATAGTGCATGAATTTCTCAGCTTTGGGAGTTTGTTTCTAGACAACACATTTCCAAAATTCTTCTCTATTCCTGAAGAGAAGCACATTTATTCATACTAAATTTTTATTAGTATGCTGCCAGGATAAGCAAACTTTTTCTTATGAAGGTTATACATTAGGAATTAGGATTGTGGAATGCTAAACTGGAAAAGGGCAATTGTAGAAAAACTAGATCAGCCCAGCCCGCTTTCTAAGACGATTCACTTCTATTTTTTTTAAAAAAGCCTTGTCACATCTGTTTTGTAAATATGTGAATGAGAATCCTCAACATTTAATCTTTTCTCTTCAACCACCACCCTGATTTCATCAGCCTATCTACAAGGAAAGACTCACAAGAAAGCAGAGACAAAGCAGCAGGTAAGACGATACTTGCATTTGAGAAAAAAAGGCCATAAAGAGATTGCATAAAGTAGGTCAGTGGAAATCCTTCACAAAACATTGCACCATTTATTTAATCACACTAAACATTTGTTTAACCAAACTAACTCATTCTCTTTAGAAAGACAATTGAAAAGTGCAGGGACAGAAGTATAGGTTAAAACTGAGTAAATAAGGAAAAGATAATGCAATTAAACAGATGGTTCTACAAGTAGTTTTCTTTCCCATTTATAACATACTTCACACCATTCTCAAACACTGTTATCCCAGAAATGTTTTTCACTCTCTGTCTTCCATTTTCTGTTTCTCGGGAAACTACTGTTTGATTTCTTATCCTCTAATAGTACATTACAGTGCCAATTTATTTTATAAATTGATAGATTTTAAAAGACGGTGAAAGTGTTTGGGTACAGACTTTACTAGTAAAAATAAAAAATAAAAAGGTTATCTTTATATATAATGTTTAAATACAAAACTATAAATTCTTTTATATACAATGTTTATTAACCCTTTATATACAATTTGTATGAAGCACTTAGGTGATATGTTGTCAATGGCTCATAATGCTATAAGTTCTTACCTATGTTTAGGTGGGATCTTTTTCCTGCATTTTGAAACAATTATTTATTTATTTACTTATTTACAACAGTTTTACCCCACCCTTCTCACCCAAAGGAGAGTCAGGACAGCCTTACAACAGGCAGCAATTTGATGCCATACACATATATATCCATAAAATAAACAATTAAAATTGAAGCAATTAAACATCAGTTATTAAAACATCAATTAAAATCACGCAATCCAAATCATAATCATACCTTCATCAATCACATTAATTTGTTAAGAGTTCTGGTTAAATACAATACAGTTGCCATTTGGTTACACCTCATATTTGTGGTACTGGTGTAAAATCAACTTCTTTAGGTAGAATTTGGAAAAGGTTATCTTTTGATGGCTTTTGTTGATTTGGGGATTATGGATGATACAAAGAAAAATCAACATTCCCAAGCCCTTATGATTTACGTACAACTGCTAGTTGCATTCATTGTTTGAAGTAACAAACTTTTTGAAATAAATAAGTCTGATGTTCCTGTTACCTAGGGATTTACACATTCCAAGCAAAGAGGGATATCTTCAAAACAACTTGGAAACATTTATAGAATATAGAAAATCTGTAAAATTGATATATAGGTGGGCTCTGAAATATCTCCTTGTCTCCCTTCAAAATTTGTCTAGAAGTGTGTACCTATTACTGCTGTAGAAATAAACCTTGTTTTTTTCTCTCTATTCCATTTTCATGATGTTTTTCAAATTTGGGCCAATTGTGCTAGTCAGTGAACCTCGTTATTGTGGCATATGCCCCTATTAATACATCTTGCTTCATATTGTTTTAGAAGTTTTATGACTGGGTTTAAGCCAACTAGGAACATCTCAATTCTTTGTATAGCAGAGCAAAAAAGGGTAACAGCATCTTTTACCTTCTGCACAAACCATTTTTAAAATAAATAATATTATTAGTTATGCAATAATCAAATCTACAAATAAACATTCCATACACTATCAATATAAACATAAAAATCCATAAAACAATACTATATTCTTCAGACTTCAAACTGCTTCAGCATAGTCTTCTCCCTTTCCATCATCTTCTTCGTCTGTTCATAGTTTTCTTAACCACAGCTGCATAAATTGGTTCTGAAATAAAATAAGATACCCGTATTTACTCAAGTCTAATGCACCATTGAATCTAATGCGTACCTCAATTTTGAAAACCTTGAAACCAAAAAAAGAATTTTCTGGCAAATGTAATGTGGAGTGGCGAAACAGTGCACTCTTTGTAATGTGGCCGAAAAAGGTGTGCATTACAGTGGCCGCCCGCTTATAATTCTTTCTTTAAAAACAAAGTATCGAACAATGGAAAAGAAAACCTTGGTGTGCATCTATGCTGTAGAATGATTCCACTTTAACTCCCCTAGTTCAATGTTATGGGGGTGGCCAAAGAATCTTGATGCCTGACCAAACTACAAATCCCAGCATTGCATAGCATTGAGCCATGACAATTAAATTAGAGATGACGTCCTCAAATAGGAGCTCCAGGTACAGCTGCTGAAGAAGCTTCTCCTTTTGCTTTGGTTCAGTACTAAGATTACCATATTACACTAATCTAATGACCACCCTAATTTTAAGAAGGTAATTTAGCCAAAAAAGATAAGCATTAGATTCGAGTAAATCCAGTATCTTATATTCAGTAAAAGTCATTTAACTGCTTTGAGACTATGCTCCAGGTTAACCAATTAGAATTCCCCAATCTTGCAAACAAAAAGAAAGATATATATTAATTATTTAATCTTCTCAATGCTGTTTGTCTAATCATTGTTGTTTTTTTCATTACTACTAGTCTTTTATCATCAAAGTTATTAGCAAACCATTTTGATGATCTTCTGAATCTTAGTTTGGAGTGTGTCTGTGTAAAACATCTAAATGATGTTTCCATTCTCCTGGACAATTTTTGAGAATTCCAACACATTTTATTCCCACTTTGAAGTTGATTTCTTCACAGACGTTTAGAACTCTCTCTTTACGGTGTTTGTCGAGATTACAGTTCTATAGTGGAAGGAGACATTTTTCTTTAGGTTAATCTGAAGATGCAATTCTACTTTCTAGTCCAAAAATGCTGGAACAATGAGTTACATTTATTTATTTATTTATTTATTTATTTATTTACCATATTTATATCCGCCATTCTCACCCCACAGGGGACTCAAGGCGGCTTATATATATAGGCAGCGATTCAATGCCATACAAACATACATAGTAAAATAAACATATACATTAAAACAATAATTAAAAACATGAAAACTTAATTTACCTTACTTTTATAGTATCATACCATATATCTATTTTATTTATGTCAATACATATCAAAGCTCAAATGTATTATCCTCGGGGGGGGGGGAACTGTTATCAAGATCTCTATTTACTTTTTGTTCTAATAAATAATTCTGAACATATATGTCCTCCTTTCCAAAGCTATGCCTGGTTATCCAGTAAAGTTCACAACTTAGTGCTTTTTCTTGCTACAAAATTGTAGTATCATGATTCCACTATAAGTATTCGGGAATCATGGAATCTTACGGAATGTTTTACTTTTCAGTTTGGGAGGGGGGTGGTATTTAAAATTCTCAACCATAATGGTATAAATGATTGTGTAACTGCACTCCATACCCTAAGAATCTATAGAAGATTGCACGGTGAGTAAAGTGGGATCATGGTGCCGCAATTTGTAATGTGAAAGGGCCCTAGTTAATTGATTGGTTCAACAGAACATCAACCGCTAGGTGTAATATAATAACTAACTATTTTTTTTTGTAGCTCTTTCACCCCCATTGGGAATGGTACAAATGACTGTGCAGAACTACATGAGGTGGGTACTCTGTGTTCAGATGTCCAATCCCAGCTTCTGCATTTCAAAATACCAAAAGGCAATCAAGGTCTATTAGATTAAATGGCTCCTTGATGTTTTAACTATAGGATGGCAGGAAGAACATTCGTTAGCTTAATGACTGCATTTACATTTCCTAGTATTAAGCTTAATGACTGCTTAATTAGTCAATATTGTATTTGGGTGTCAATGTAATGCTTTCCATGCTAAAATACTGATGCCTCTTTCATGCTTGTACAAGCAAGTAACCAAAAAGTTAAAGGACTACTGCACCCTCATGTATCACATCAACAGGGTGTGAGTAAGACTAGGGGCTGGTTTACAGCATCAGGTTTTCCCACACATAATCAGCAATTATACATAAATCATCCAGGCAAGGAGTTGCACAGACATGACTGTACACAGAGACACCTTAATGTCATGTCAGTTGTTTAAGTTGCCCTATTTCCAGCTGACAGGATCATGGGAGAACTCAATCACATAACATTTCCCAATGTGGCACACATGTGCACACTACAAAATGAAGAAAACGTATCAATATAACTGCAGCTAACCCTCTCAGGCCCCTTCTTTACTGCCATATAATTCAGATTATCAAAGCAGATAATTTACATTACCTGCTTTGAACTTGATTTTATGAGTTTCACTGCCATATAATCCAGTTCAAAGCAGATAGTTTGGATTTTATATGACAGTGTAGATAAGGCCTCACTCACTAACACACTTCATCATAAAGTTCATCCCTGCACTCTGCTGTACAATGCGGTCCCACAGTGTATGTCCATAGCAGACCTTCTTCCACCTATAGGTGTTAAAAATGAGATGCCATAGCAACCATGATTCAGCACTCCTTTTATTAAATACATAGAAATTCAAAATCAGATTTTTAAGAATTAAGTGCTCTGGGCATAAAAGAATAAATCTGTACATTTGGGTTCATCCCAGATTTTTTTGGACATGGTTATCAAATTCTTTGCATTCCAAACAAACCATGTGAAGTCTTTATTTTGGTAAATATAGATTTAAAAATGAACTAAATACCTTGATCTGAATCTCTTATCATTTTCTAACGAAATGGAGCTAGCCAAAGAAAAAGCCAATGTTTTGTTTATGCTGCTAGGTCATGTCATTGTACCGACGAAAAAGATACCTAAAGTTGATGGATATCTGTGGTTATAGCAGTGAGAAGCAAATGAAGAACATTGTGGCTTTTGAAGACTTCACAGTCAAAATGCTCATCCTCCCTTAAAACAAACAAACAACTTAACAGAAATTGCCCAGAAATCTTGACCAAAATAAAGAGATCAATGTGAGGAACTTCCTTCAATACCCTTGACTATAAATATTCTGCATGGAGCTTTATTAAAAGCTTCACGCATTATATCTTTCCTGAAGGTAGGTGGCTAGAGAAAGTGTGTTCCCCAAAGACTCCTGAAGATACACCATCTGTCAAAACCAAAGAAGATCTGCCACCTTTATAATTAGCATTTACTGGTACCTTAACACCTACATTCTAACACTTACTGTAACATACTGTTCCTGAGAATAAATGTGTTTGCCACAGTCTCAGACATGCTCTTACATAGTAACATTTTGAATTAAAATCAAGATGCAAATGTTTGCTCTGAAATGAAACTATAATGATGTCCTGGAGAACCTCACATATAAACAAACATTAATGCTGCATTCCTTTTCTGCAGATCCTTGCACAGATTTTCAGAAATGCCTGCTCTCTCACGATGGAACAGTGCAAACCCATCTCATTCTCTCCCCAGTACTCCAAAAAGGTCAGTTTTGGTCTGATTTCAATATTTATAACTTTTACATCATAGTCTAAATGCCATAAAGGCATCTGTCATGAAATCTACCTTTGAGACAGCTAGGCCGAAGCCTGCATGACAGTGGCTGTCATCTTGGAAGGCAGGCAGGACAGGAGGAGGAGTCAAGCCGGCTCCTGATTGGGTATAGCAATTGGGGGAGGAGTCGGTTGAGAGAGGGAAAATAAGCTGTCAGCTTTTGACAGAGAGGGTGAAGTGTCTTGAGATCAGACAGGGGGAGAAGTGTTTTGACAAGGGAGAGAGAAGGAAGGGATTTTTAGGAGAGGAAGCTAGATAGAGCAGGGATCTGACAGAAAAGGAAGAGCTTTTAGTGAGCCTTAAGCTTAGGGAATAGGCTGAGACAAAAGGCTAGGATTTTACTGTGTTGTGAGAGCCAGTAAAAGAAAGATTTGTCTCCTTATACTTGAGATAGTATAAGGGAGTTTACTGCCCTGTGGTGGAAACAGATAGGAGTCTGTTCTCCAGTTGACACTGTGTCTAAAGATAGAGCAGTGTGTTTTTAGGGAACTCACAATGTTAAAAGCTTTTCTGTCAGGGGAACTATTTGTTTAAGTAACCAAGATTCTGCAACTGAATCACGCTTCTGTACCACTCATTTCTATGAGTTGTTGTTAAGATAAAGTTCAATAAACTCTTTCTAGTTAACTTTTAACTGGTGTATGCCTCAATCTATCCATTTCCTCAGAACTCATTCTGTCAAACCATTTTAAAGTCCAGTCAGCCAGTGAGGAAGCCATAGAAGAACAAGGGCACAAACACCCCTTACCTAAAACACATTCACACCTTTGGTTCCTCAGGCCAATAATTCTGAGGGGGCGGCGGCTTATACTACCAATAACATTCGGTCATTGACATATTTAACATAGGGTCAGCCTTTAATTTCGCTATAGCATCAGATCCCATCTGATCTTGGAAACTAAGCAGGGTTAACTCTGGTTACTGTTTAAATTTGAGATCACCAATCCATGATAGGTGCTGTAGACCAGGGGTCCTCAAACTTTTTAAACAGAGGGCCAGGTCATAGTCCCCAAAATTGTTGGAGGGCTGGATTATAATTTGAAAAAAAAAATGAATGAATTCCTATGCACACTGCACATATCTTATCTGTAGTGCAAAAAACACTTAATACACTAATTAAAATAAAGAACAATTTTAACAAATATAAACTTATTAGTATTTCAGTTGGATGTGTGGGCCTGCTTTTGGCTGATTAGATAGGATTGTTGCTGTTGTTGTTGTTGTTGTTGTTGTTGTTGTGTGCTTTCAAGTAGTTTCAGACTTAAGTTGACCCTGAGTGAGGGCTGGGTAAATGACCTTGGAGGGCCGCATCCGGCCCCCGGGCCTTAGTTTGAGGACCCCTGCTGTAGACTATACTTCAAAAGATGGAACTGGAAAAACCACCTCTGCATATTCCTTTCCTAAGAAACCCTATAGAATTCATGGGATCACCAAAAGTCAACAGGTAACTCAAAGGCAGATACGCACACACGTAACTTTCACATGAGTGCAGACCAAGTGGTTCCCCAGATATTGTGAGATACCTATTTACTTGAATCTAATGCTCACGTTTAGGAAATTACCTTGCCAAAATTAGGGTGCGCATTAGATTTGCATAATATGGTAATCTTATTGCTGAGCCAAAACAAAAGGGGAAGCTGCTTCAGGAATATCTGGAGCTCCTATTTGAGGGATGTCATCTCTAATTTAATGGTCAGGGCTCAATGCTATGCAACCCTGGGGTTTGCAGTTTGGTAAGGTATCAGTACTCTTTGGCAGAGAAGGTCAAAACGTTGTAAAACTACAGCTCCCATGAACCCATAGCATTGAGTCACGGAAGTTAAAGTAGATTTATTCTACATCAGTGGTTCTCAACCTGGGGTCCCCAGATGTTTTTGGCCTACAACTCCCAGAAATCCCAGCCAGTTTACCAGCTGTTAGGATTTTTGGGAGTTGAAGGCCAAAAACATCTGGGGACCCCAGGTTGAGAACCACTGTTCTACAGCATAGATGCACCCCAAGATTTTCTTTTCCATTGATGGAAGAGTTGGTGTTCTAATACTTTTGTTTTTAAAGAAGGAATTCTAAGCATGCAGCAACTGAAATGCCCAAGGGGGGCACTTTTGCCGCTGCACAGTACATTCAGCAGAAAATCCTTTTTTTGGTTTCAGGGTTTTGAAACTGGAGGAATGCATTAGATTTGATTGCTCATTAGACTCAAGTAAATACAGTGGTTTATAACATAACGATAGACTAGCTTAGTGAAAGAAGAGATCATATTAGCCAGACGGCATAATTCTTACTGATGTTTTCTCCATAGCATCATTGAATGGCTAGATTTCTCGGAAAAGGACCCAGTTGAGGTTTTGCTGGATTTAGGATTTGGCACTGATGAGCCAGACATCTGCACTAAAATCCCTTCCCGCTTCATCAGTTGTGCATCCGCTGCTAAAGGAATCAATATCCGTGTCTTTATTGAAGCACAAAGACAGCGCATGGATTTGGAAAATCCCAATTTGTGTGGTAAGTAGTACATACTGCCCGGGAAAAGTGCTACTTCCATCTTTCTTCTTCACAAAATAGACTGTGACTTTTTTTAAAAGGAGAGCACAAGTATGAACCATCTTCAACAGGTAATTTTGGTACTAACCTGGTATTTTGTTTAAGGGATGTGTTTTTATAAGCCATGGGTTGTTGAGTATGCAAGAGAACAGTTCATAACTCCATTTCTAACACACACATTTTTTAAAAAAGAAAAAGAAAAGAGGCTATTAAAGAATGCCATTTTAAAATAACACAAAATATTAAAACGGCATCCAAATGAATGGGTTATAGCAATGTAACCTTATAAGGCAACTTGATGCCTTCCTGTCGAATCTGTCTATCGAATTATTGAGAAGATAAGAAAAAAAACCCCAATTTTGTGTCACAACCATTTTCAAAAGGTAGCCACCAGAAATACCTTTAAAAAAAACAAACAGTTTTTTTAAAACTGAGCATTACAGAGGTGTATTGTTCCAAGTCCCCCAAATTCGATTTTCTGGAAAAGTGTTTTTGTTTTGTATTTCTATACAAAGGGGGGAAAGTAAAGATCTTTATTTTATTTATTTATTAAGTATTGCTTGCTAGCCCACAAGCACTCTTGAACAAATCAAACAATTAAAACAATACAAGGATAAAACCATTTTTAAAAAACATTATAATAAACTTTAAAAATTCCTAAAAGCAGTCTAAAACAATCCTAGAATCCAATTTTGAAGCAATCAAAACAGCATTTTCAAACACTGAATGCCATACTGTTTTGGTTGCCCACCAGAAGATTATAAGAGATAGGGTCAACCTAATATCTTTAGCATGGGATTTCCTCAGTCAAAGTGCTACTATCGAGAAATCCCACTTATATGTACCCACCATCAGGAGGTCTTGGGACATGTAGCAGCAGGATCTCCTATGAAGATCTTAAATTTTTGGCAGGTTCTTATGGAAGAAGGTGACATTTCAGATAGTTATTTAAGGTTTTATAAGTCAACACCAACACTTGAGTTGAGTTGGAAAGCATGCTGGAAGCTAGTACATTTCTTGCAAGGCTGTTGTTACAGGATCTCAAAAATGTACATCTGATACCAGGTTAGCTTCATTTTGCACCAGGCTCAGTTTTCTAACACTTTTAAAGGGTGTCCCTAGATAGAGTCCATCATAGTAGTCTAATTAGTAGATGACAAAGTTATGAACTACTTTGGCCAGATCTGCCTTTCCAAAGAAAGGATGAAGCTGGCATCCCAAGTAAAGTAAGACAAAGAATTTCTTGGCTAATGTAACAACCTGGCTTTTAAGGAGCAATGGGTGGACTAAACAGTTTCACCTTCACAAGAGATGAATAATCACCACAGTTTTCTTTCTACTTGTGGAGAAAATGAATATTTATGTGCAGTTCTTACCGAGTTTTCACACATCCCAGGTGAAAATTATTCTGCACAGAAATATAAATTTTATTTGCATTAGAACTATGACTTTTTCCACAAACAAAGCCCCCTATTTTCAGACAGTCATGGCTTCTGGACATCCACTTTTTTAATGCAAGATTGGTGGAGATTTAGGGACAGAAAATTGCAAACTTGCACATGCACATTCATATGGCTAATTTGACTGGTTACATTTTGTACGAGTAAAAATTATTACATTCCTTCCTCATTTATTCCCAACTTCTATCACCCATTGTAAGTGATGAGAGTGAGTTAAAGAAAATAAAAATGTAGTTTAGAACATTCTAGTTAGATTAAATATGGCTGATTAAAACTTCAGATTTCTGATTACGCCCATACCTGAGGGACCAGTATCTGTACTTTCATTACATATACCTGCATAGGAATTTTCTAAATCTAAGGTGATTCCATGGTATGCCTCCACTACAAGACACCACAGAATCATGTTGGAGAACCTATCCTTCAGTGGATATATCTCTATGAATTGTCTAAGTCCTCCAGGATTAGCACTCGATTTCAATAGGGACCTCATCACACTAGAGCATGGATCCACTTTAAATACTCAGCCAGACAGGTCCTAAGCCTCACTAAACTACAAACCCCATCATTCCTCAGGAGGCAGAAAGCGGATTTAAAGTGGATCCATGCTCTAGTGTGATGAGGCAATAAGGTTTGTTGTTATCCATGATCTATCCGATAAGTTCAGGAACAAATCCCCTGTGGATACAGGAGATAAAATGTACTCCTATTAATTCTACTTTTACATCCTGAATAATTTTAGAATTGAAAATTTGTTCATCTGACAGTATCAATATTTGATGTATTTTCCGCTCTCTCAAATTTAAGGGCGTTTTCGACAATTAGAAGTCCTGGATCATGTGACCAGTGCTTTTTCCTCTTTGCTACATGATGTCAGTGCAATGCAGCAGAAACCAGAAGATGAAAAAAGAGATAGGACAGCAGTAGACTCTCTGAAGGAGAAACCAGTGGTCACACAGACAAAGCGAAGGAGGATAGGCCAGCTCCTGAGAAAAGCATCCAGACAAACAACTGTACATGGTCCTCAAGCTTACCGAAGTGCTGGCCAATGCAAGGCCAAGGAAGACTACTGCCCTGCTGCTGATATGGACCTAAACATCATGACTAAGACCAGCTTGTCAGATAGTACTGCCTTGGTCTGTCTGAAAGAGGAACTGTTCCCAAGTGAAGAGGCAGAAGCGGCAATGACTATAGCTCAACTTGCTCAGTCCAGAGCTAGCAAAACATGGGCATTGCCTCATCCAGTTATAAAGCAGCCCCGCCTTCCTTCATGCTATGAGATGGCTCTTAAAGACAGACCACATAAGGAATCCAATTTGCTGTTGACCCATATGCTCAGGAGAGTATCTGGCTTTGGTGGCAAGCCTGCAGAGTCCTTTGAAATGGAAGAGGTAAGCCAAATGGGTACATATTCCATATGGATAGGAGAAAGAGATGTGTACTATATAATCGATGTGAGAACCATGTGGCCCTTGGACTGACCTCATATACTTCGTACCATTTATTGAAAAAAAATGTTGAGTAGAGATAGAATCTGGATCTCCCAAGTTCCACTCCAGCACTCTGCAAATGTCAGACATCCCCCAAAATGTTTGTACATCTTTCTTCCTACATAGAATCATAGCATTGGAAGAGACCACAAGAACCATCCAGTCCAATCCCTGACATTCAGGAACACACAATCAAAGCATGCCCAAAAATGGCCATGCAGATTATGTTTTAAAACTTCCAGAGAAGGAGACATCACCACACTCCAAAGCATATCCCACTGTCGAACAGATCTTATTGTCAAGAAGTTTTTCGTAATGCTTAGGTGAAATCTCCTTTCTTGCCATTTGAATCCATCTCTTTGTATCCTAGTCTCTGTGATTTTTTCTTTCTTGGTATTGATTCTCCCCCCCCCCTTTTTTTTTTTTAAATGGAGACAAATTCTACCTTCCTCCAGTCTTCTGGGACTTCTGTTCTCCAGGAATTCACAAAGATGATTGCCAGTGGCTCTGAAATTACTTCTGCCATTTCTTTTTATACCCCTGGATGTCATTCATCTGGCTCTGGAAGCTTGAATTCACTTACAGTAGTCAGATATTCCTGTACTTCTTACTGTGCTGCATTTCACCTATTGCATCATATGAGGCATCATCCCCCAGTTGAGCACTGTCAACTTTGGGGGAGAAGACTGAGGCAAAGAAAGTGTTGGGCTGTTGTGCCTTTTCTCTATCCCATGTTAGTGTTTTGTCAACAAATATCAGGATAGTTGAACTCTTCCATTTCTACAACTCTTCTTTCTGAATGTGTGATCAACTGATCTAGAAAGACATCATCCATGTCCTTAGTTTGGCTTAGTTTACTCACATATTCTCAGCCTGGCTTTCAGGATTTAAGTCATGGATGTCCTCATAGGTGACATCCAATGCTACTCCTCATTCTTTCCAATTTGGTATACTTCTGAGAAATAATCACTCTGTTACCATAATCCAATCATGAGACTTGTATCACCACATTTCAGAGATTTCACTTATATCATATTTTCTTTGCTGTGTTAAGAGATCAAGTTCACCTTGTTTATTTCCCATGCTTTGTGCTTTGTGCATTAATATAGAGGCACCAGAGACCATGCATTATTCCCTCTCTGCTGTTTCTTTATCTTTTATCTCAACAGAGATAGGGGGAAAACTTTTTGCCCAGGTCCCTCTATGACTGTTGGGATATTCTTTCACAATAAACCCCTGCATTCAAAAACACTGTCTCCCTCCTTCAGATTCAGGTTTGTGAGATTTTTATTTTTAAAAAATCCTTCCAAACACTAAGAGGCAAAACCCATTCCTTACCAGAACTTCACTTTCATTAAACCTCAGACCATGGTCCAGGAAGCCAAATAGTTCCAGGAGACATCATTTGGGAAAACAGTTATTAATTTCTACTGTTTTTCATCAATTATAAGGTGTATTTTTCCCAAATAAAGAGCTTTAAAAATGAGGTGTACCTTAAATTCACAGTTGCATCTTTCAATCACCATTTTTTGCTGGTAAAATTGTCTTACCCCTCAGAGAGAGGAGGAGAAGAGAGGGCCACAGCCCCAAATGGCTATGCCGGGCCCCCACCATTTTGGCCCTAGCCTTAGCCAGATGATTGGTTATTTTTGCTCAGTGCTCTTCCTGCTTCTGGTGCCTCCCCAACAGTCTGGGAGAGTTGATAATAAAGATTTGTAGACATATGACTTGTAGGCATTTCACCCCACAGGAGAGATTGGACTACTTCTGCATATATATATATATATATATATATATCTGCAGAAGAAATTCTAAAAGATATTCTAAGAAAATTCCTTTCCCCCCCTAAAATAAAACCTTAAAATTTGTGTGCGCCTTATACTTGATGGTGCCTTAGAGTCAATGAAATATGATATTATCTTTCTCTCATTTCCTGGGCCATGTTTTTGAACTGATAGGAGAGATGAAATGATGACCTGTGCATTAAGGCCCTTCAGCTTCCTACCCATGGGCTCATAATCTATGTGATCTTCTAAAAGCTATGCCTTGTGGAGTCATTGGTTCCCACATGAAGCAAAAGGAAGAGGAAATGATTTGTGGGATTGATAAGTCTTGCCGGTCTCTTACATCACAGATTTTTGCCCCAGGGGGACAACTCAAGTCATTCTGTCAGGTCTGCAAACCACTGCATCTTCCATCAAAACATGTCTCCTTGGAGTTTTGGCTGTTCCATTCCATGTGCTGACTTCCAGGGGCACCTGCGCATTCCTTGAAGACAAAAAAAACCCCCTATAATTGCACTTCTTGCTATTCAACATCATTACTTATGCTGGAGAGAGCTTTAAATCGATTCTGTACCTCCAGACTCACATAATGATTCCAGGTCCTTCTACTTCTATGTGATGCTTCCCACCAAGTGTCTATTTCCTGTATTGGGAAGTGGCCTCCTCCTCAAAGAAATCCACTGTGTGTTCCTCTTCCCAGACAGTCTTCTCCGCTGAGTCCAAGACAACCTCTTCTTTTATAATATGTTGAAATGTTGATACATGGTTCTCAACCTGATGAACCTTTTCTTCCAAGAGGGCCATCAACTTGCACTTACTGCAAGTATAGCTAGCCACATCCTCCGGCAAGGACACAAACATACCACAACTGACTACATTGAGCTCCCTACATTGAGCTCCATTTTTGGAATTCTTAAGTGGGGAATGGAACAAAACTCAGGCCTTCCCCCTCAAAATCTCCTACTAAATACCCACCTAAAGCACCTCTGTTGGCATCACTTGGTCATCTTGCTCCTGTACTCTGAACTCCAGGAATTGGGACAGATAGACAAATTTCCAAAGAGCAATGCTGTTAATTAACCAGCAATAGCGGAATATGGGAGGCATGTGTGATGTAGACCTGAAAAAATAAAAAGTAAAATTCAGTTTATTTTTAAAAGAATAAGGAAAAGATGTACCAACAACAGAGAAACATCTGGATGGTTTAGTGTTGTTTTAGTCTAAAAACCTAAAGTTAAAAGAGAAGAAATATACATTTAATAATTAAAACTCTAAACTGCTTTAAGAAGTGTTTTTTCCCTGTCTCAGATCCAGAGCTTTGAAGATGAATCTTCCTGGGGAAATCCTCTTGAAAGCACTTCAGGTGGGTATTAGCAAACAAAATGACTCTGTATATTTTTACAAGTTTGCATATGGGAAAGCCTTGAGCTATAAATGCCAAAGAAATGAACTGGTCAGCCAAACATTCCTTCACAGCCTGATGTCTTGAAACAATGCAATAATCCACACCACCTTCAGGGAGGACTTTATGGGTTTCTTGTTAGTAGCTGATTATAAATGACCAGACAACCTGAAGCAATTGGAGAACTTCCAGTTTTCAGAAACACTACAACAGGTGTTACAGAATTGAAAGAAAGGACATGCATTCAAGCCCCAACCTCTCTGCCTCTGACCTCCCTACACCTGAAGGTATAGAGACACACTATATTGTTGTTTATTTGTTCAGTAACTTCTGACTCTTTGTGACCTCCTGGACCAGCCCATGCCAGAGCTCCCTGTCGGCCGTCACCACCCCTCAGCTCCTTCAGAATCTAGCCAGTCACTTCCAGGATACCATCCATCCATTTTGTCCTTGGTTGGCCCCTCTTTCTTTTTCCTTCCATTTTCCCCAGCACACTATAAGGATGGTCAGATGAATACACCTTTGGTCCACCATCTCTGCCATTGAGAATTCAGACTACAGAATGCTACTTTTAGCATGCAGGTATATATTTAATTGGCATGTATTTACGTTGTGTACAATGCCATGACTCTAGTCCATCATAAGATGCCATTAGACAGAGCTCAGGGCACATCTACTGGGCAGGTTAACCTACTCTACATCTTTCCTTTAAAAGGCCCTTGATTCAGCACTTTAAAAGGCCCTTGATCCAGGTGTATTGTCCAGTTAGCCTTGACCACATTTGCCCTGCTTGGACTGTCACTTCCTCTGTGTCACCACTCTCAACACCACATTTAGTCAGCCAAGCTCCATCTGAGCTCCTAGCCATCATCTCTGCTAATGTCACAATGGGGCAACCAGCAAGAAGGAGAGCAGACCAAAATGTAGAGATCAAATGGCTACAATACAGATGCTGTTGTAATTCTCCATCATACCAGCTAGCATGGTACTTATAGCTATAAGTATGAAACAGAAAATGGTACTTGCAAGTGATAAGTCTGTTATTGTGCTCCTTTGTGCTGTTCAAACTGACATGCCTGAACTCCATCAGATAAGGCAAGTCTAGTAAACATTGACTAGACTTGCTTGATTTGCAACTTCACTTATTTGCTCATTGCTAACCATAGATTGATTCTGCATAGGAGCACATGAGATGGCATTTTTATTTGTTTTATTGTATGTATTTCTAAAACATGGTCAAAAAAAGAATTGAGTTTGAATGTATGGTGGCCATTGGGGGTCAAGGGGGGGGAATTCTTGAACCCTTAAAGTGGTAAACAAAAATCAGCAAGTGAAAGTTCTTGTAATACAAAAGGAGCTCATGCGTAAGCTGGAATCAGTTAATCATGCAGAATAATAATAATAATAATAATAATAATAATAACAACACTTTATTTGTACCCCTCTACCATCTCCCCAAGGGACTCGGTGTGGCTTACATGAGGCTGAGCCTGAATACAACAATACAAGCAATAACAACAGTACAAGCAAATTAAAATAAAACATAGACAATAAAATATATAACATTATCAATAAGACAGATAACTGGTAACAGTTGAACTTGTGCTGGAAGTGAAGCTAGGTCAAGAGCAGCAGTGGTATTAGATGTAAGTGACTGATGATAATAATGTTCAGTTTGGTTGTATGGTTTCATGGTTATCCACTTGATAGAAGGTAGAACAAAATTTGTTTTCTGTTGCTACAAACTCTAGGAAACTAACCAATGGATTAACATTGTAAAATGAAAAAAGTCGCCCTATCCATTAGGATGAACCTGATAGTAGCATCTGTTAGGGTTGTGTAGTCAGGGTAAATCTTGACCTGTTTTGTGTCCTGACTTTTGATGGGGGCCCTGATCCATTTTTTGGGAGTCTCTTGAAATTGGGAGGGCAGGTATCTGTTTTTGCTCCTCAGTGCCAAAAGATCTGTTTTCTATGGGCCCATTGGGGGGGACGGGACTTCCCACCCAGATTCCTTTTCCTGGTGCACACTTTAAGCAGGCTTCTTCTTACCTGTGGTTTCTGCTCTATAGGAGGCGCTCAACTGCATGCGCTGGCAGGGGCAGGCACTTTGTGGGCCTGCATGCCACACATGCACTCTCTTTCCAAGGAGAGTATGTATGTGGTTTAAAAGCCCAGAAAGCACCCGCGCTTGCCTGTGGCTGCAGCTGAGTGCCTCTTATTCTAGAGTAAGAGGCTCTCAGCTGTAGGCACTGGTAAATGTGGGCGCTCCTGCACACCACACATGCACTCTCCTTGGAAAGAGTGTGCATGTTTGTGGTGTGCAGGTCCAGAAAGCACCTGTGCCTCCCACTGCCTGCATCCGAGCACCTCTTACTCTATGATGCCAAAAAGCAGGCCAGGAGCCGGGACCCGCTCCTGCCTGCTTTCATGTCAACCATATTTTTGTAGCAGGAGGGGCATCCCTATTCCGTGTTCCTGAAGAAATGAAAGACACAAAGGAAAAGGAGGAAAGTACTTCCTCGCACAACTCTAGTATCTGTTCAGATGTGGAATAGATTGACTCAGGGTGTTGTGAAACTTAAAAGAAAACCAACAGTCCCAAATGCTTTACTTATCCAATGTGATGTAGTCCTCAGTGAGGGGTGGGCATCCTTTTATAGAAGGTTTTCATACAGAGGTTGAATTACTATATTTCAGAAGTGTTTTAGCTAAATAATCCAGTATGAACTAGATGGCCCTTTGGTCTCTTTCAACTCTTTAATTCTGTGCTTAAATCAGTGTGGCCCTGGGACTGTGTGCATCCCAAGTGTACTTTGTGGCTCTTAATTTCACTAGATTCCCAAAAACCACAAAAAGTGGTGAATGCCCTCTCCTAGGATCCTCAAGAGAGTTAACTCCTATTTTAGTTATAACCCTCTCTGAACCGTTTAGTGTGAAGGCCCTTCTACACAGCCATATAAAATCCAGATTATCTGCTTTGAACTGGATTATGTGGCAGTGCAGACACAGATAATCCAGTTCAAAGCAGATAATCTGGATTATCTGATTTGATAATCTGGATTATGTGGCAGTATAGAAGGGGCCTGTGTGTGTGCATGTGTAATTGTATTTCAAAACTAGAAACACTTTCAGTCTGTTTTCCCCCCTTGCAATGTTTGACAGTTGATAAATGCCCTAGATCAGGGGTCCTTAAACTTTTTAAACAAAGGGCCAGGTCACAGTCCGGCAAATTGTTGGAAGGCCAGATTATAATTTGAAAAAAAAAACATGAATGAATTCCTATGCACGCTACACATATCTTATTTGTAGTGCAAAAAACACTTTAAAACAATACAATAATTAAAATGAAGAACAATTTCAACAAATATACAATTATTAGTATTTCAATGGGAAGTGTGGGTCTGCTTTTGGCTGATCAGATAGGATTGTTGTTGTTGCTGTGTGCTTTCAAGTCATTTCAGACTTAGGTTGACCCTGAGCGAGGGCCGGGTAAATGACTTTGGAGGGCCGCATCCGGCCCCCGGGCCTTAGTCTGAGGACCCCTGCCCTAGATGGTCACAGAGACAGAATATTTTGGTCTTGGTCCAATTGCACTTGTCCACTCTGTCTTAAATATTGAGTAGCCCAAGAAATGTTGCTATCTGAATCAGAGCAGCAAATAGTACATTTGCATTGCCAAGTCAAAGTACACAGGGTTTAAAGCCAGCCAAGTTATTATGACCCATGAGGTCAAAAGACAAAAAGCCCTTAGGATCCTGTAACCATGCCTAGCAGTAACAATCCAATAGAAACAAGCAAAATAAATCATCACGAATATCCTTCTATTCATGCCCAAAACTGCTACTCTAATGGTGGGGCCAGCTCTGGTGAAAGACCATCCCTTGGCTGCTCTATGTCATTTCTCTTCAGTCTTGTTACTTCTCTCTTTAACTGTGTCATGAGATTCCTTTATCTTTTCCTCCCTGTTCACAGAATGCAGACTTAATTCTAAAAGACACTCAAATCCCAGGCATCCCTAAATGACTTACAAGGAATACCGGAGTGTTTTTGAGCAGAAGTGGATGTGTAGATGCATGCATTTTTTTAAAAGGAAAAAAAATTACAATTCTTTATTAGGCAATTTTATCATTGTTATAAATAAGTAATTGTACTGGGGAGAAGGGATAATCCTTATTTAATTAAATTCATCTATACTCCCAGGTTGGCAGCAACCAGACATATGTGAGACTAATACCCACAGCCTGCCTTGTATGCATGTGCAATTAAAAATTCACTCTACAGTTGCACTGGCAGTTTAGTGTTGCTTTTGGCATTTACAAATTCTTTTATTTTGTGACTTTTCCCCACCATACACATATGCTGGAGCAGATGTTGCTTATTTGTTGTTTATTCAAATCTGTAAGCTCTGGCAGCAAGCGCTATTGTTCTGTAATGAAGCCTCGCTCACTGCCCTGTATTAGGAAGCCCCAGTAAATGTCTGATGGGCAGTTAGCTCCAAGCAGGAGGGCTGTGCTATTTTACTATCTGTATCTAACTATTCTCCTTTGAAGATATTGGCCACTCGGCTATGCAAAGGAACTGAAAACCACATGATATACTGAAGAGGAGGACAGCTCAGTTATGGTCTTCAGCCTCTTATTTGCATCCACATACATGGTTTAAGCCAGCAGGGTGTCGTAGTTTAAGTAGTAGACTAGGAGAACAGGAATAGTAATCATAGCACAATAGTCACTAGTAGTAACTTCCCCCTCTAACAGAGTAGTAATTTCCTGCGTCTCGTTTCCCTTCCTTTCTAGATTGTCTCCCCTCTTCTTTCTCTCTAGCTGTGGTCAGCTGGTTTTTCCAGGCAGTAGAGGCATTGCTATTGGCTAGATTTCAGAGGAAGGAATTGGCATGATTTGCCTAAGAAAATCCTATGAAATTCATGGGGCCTCCGGAAGTCGACAGGAAACATAAGGC